CCCCCCGCGCCCCGCCCCCGCCCCTCGGGGGGGCCCCCTGCCAGGAGACCTCACCTGCGTCGTGGGAAGCCAGGGCCCTCAGCATCTTGCCGGCGCTGCGGCGGATTTGCTTCTCCTCGTTACACAGCATCCTCATCAGCAGGTCCAGGGCCCCGGTCTCCTTGAAGACGCCCGTGAGCGAGCCGATGCTGGCGTAGGCGCTCAGCACGTGGATGGTGTTGAGGACGGAAGACTCCGGCCCCGTGGGCCCGGCCATCTGCCGGCCGGCCCGCTGCACCAGGTTCCGGACGTCGGCCTTCATCTCCAGCAGCGAGGCCTCGTCCAGCTCCACGTCCGGGGGGAACGCGCTGGGGGCCTTCTCCTCCTTCACCCGCTGCCCCTCCGGCTTCCTCTTGCCCAGCAGCGTCGGGCAGTTGGCGTAAACCTCCTCCGCCGACATCCACATCAGGATGCTCTCCGCCTTGCTCTCCGCCGAAGAGGCATTGGTGCTGCTCCCCGGGCCCTCCTCCAGGCTGAGGATGCTCCAGCGAATCAGGTACTCCGTGTGGCCATCGGGGCCCCGGCGCTGCCGGATCAGCTCCTCCGGGTAGGCCTGCAGCGCGGGCCCCAGGTGCACCAGCAGGTTTCCGTTCCTCCTCTCGCCCACCATGACGGGGAACGTCTGCGCAGAGAGAGAGGCGGGAGCAGGTTACGATCCACCCAGGGAGCCCGGTCGAGAGCCGCTGGGACCCCGTTGGGAGGAGAGGGGGCTGGATGGAAAGCTGTCCCCTGGGCCTCCTGCCCCCCCGTCAGTGCCCTCGAGGGAACGTCCCCATCAGCAAGCGAGCTGCTCTCACCCTACGCTCCCTGTGAGTCCGGGGCCCAGCCCGTTACAGGGGAGCCAGAGACCCCCATCCCATTTCAGGCTCCCACAGCCGCGTGCACTGAGCTTTCACCATAAATCCCGTCGCTAGGGGCGGACAGCAAGAAGGGCTGCGACGGGCCAGGCCCATGGGAGCCCCCCGGCGGGGGGGAAAGCCCCAGGAGCCCAGCCACGGAAGCAGGGCACTGGGGTGAGAGGCAGGAGACCCAGGCCCTGCCCTGCCACCGACCGGCTGTGAGACCTTAGGCAAATCGCCACCTCTGCTGAAAGCCCGCTGACCAAACCCTAGGCTTACCTGCGAGGGCTAGGAAGGAATACACGCACAGGCACGCTGGGCGAAACCCACAGCCCCCTTAGCCAGTATCGCGGTGCTGGCAGCGGCCAGTCCGAAAGAGTCAGTAGGAGCACGCAGAACCAGGCAAGTGTGGACAGATCCACCCGCTCCCATCCCAGCCTCGACAGTCAGATGCTGAGGGTCACACCTAGCAAGGAGTCACATCCAGGGCCATCTCGAGGATCAGCCATTGATGGACTTGTCCTCCTTGCCTGTAACTCCCCGCATCTGGAGAAGTGGGCGGGGCCCTCGAAAGCGCATGACACCAGCTCCATGGTTTGTTAGTCTCTAAGGTGCTGCAGGACTATTCGTTGTTTTTCCATTGTTTTTCAGTTACAGACTAACATGGCTCCCCCTCCGCAACTTATGAACTTAGCTAGTTCTTTTTTCAACTCAGTTGCACTTATGCCCATCCCAATCTCCCACGGCAATGAGTTCCACGGGTTAATCACACACTGTGCAAAAAAGTACTTTCCTCCTCCTTGTATTAAACTACTGCCTACTCATTTCACTAAATGCCCCCTGGTGTTTGCACTGTGGGAAGTGGTAAATCACACTTCTCCTCGCCTTTCCCACACCAGTCATGGTTTATAGACCCCTATCACATCCCTCCTTCACTGTCTCTTTTCAAAACTGAACAGACCTAATCTTTTTAGAATCTCCTTGTACAGAAATCTTTCCCAATGCTCGATGGTCTTCATCGCCCTCCTCTGAACCGTTTCCACTATATCCTGTGAGGGGGAACGAGCGCAACTGTGTTCGAGAAGGGGCGCACCGTGGATTTACACATCACCACTATTCTATTTTCTGTCCCGTTCCTAAAGCTCGCGAGCCTTTTTGACGGCGGTGGCACCCACGTCATACAACAAGCACACGGAGGGAGAAAGTTCATGGCAAACCCAGGCTGGATAGCCTGGAAAGGCGACAGAGACGGGAGCAGAGGATAAAGCTACTGGAGGGTCAGACAGAGCTGCTGTCAATTCCCCAGCTCCAGATAAAAGCACGGCAGAGGTATGGAGTGGGGCAGAGCAGCTGGCTCCTGGAAGGACCCAGAGCTCTCACCTGGGGGCTGATGGAGGAGGTCAGAGAGGGAAACAGGCAGCACTTGCAGGAAGCCGTTTACTGCTGCTTGGCTGGGCTCTGAAGCCCTGTGCTGAGTTCCATGTACCAAGCGAAGCCTGCTGTTTGACAAGCTGCAGGAGAGTCGCTGCAAAGGCTGGGGGAGGCGCGTGGATCCCTGCACTGTGGGCGGACTCAGCCGGACTCACTGGATGGGGCTCACGGAGGCCAGGTCGAAGGTGGTGGTGAAGCTGCATGGTTTACCCTGGAGGAAAAGTGAGAGCCCTCGGTCTGGCACACCAACGGAGACGTGGGAGAATTCCAAAGCTGGGACTGGTCCCACCCCTCAAAACTTCAGGAAAATCGGCTTTTGCATATAAACATGCAGAACTGGGAAGCTACTTTGGACAAAGTACCCCATGTAACCTACCAACGTTAACGTTACAACCCACTGGATCGGTAGATCCTATTCTGATGCATTTGGTTCTGGTATGTGAAGTCAGAAATATGAAGTGTGAGTCTGTTCCCAGTTTTCAATGTGCTAACAAGAGCCAGTTCCCCCCTACCCCGAAGGCCTAATGACGTGCTGATCAACTTAACTTGTAAACAGCCTTGTTTATCCTGTAAGCCCAAAGCTGACTGGACTAGAATGACATGTAACCATACCATCTGCTACTTGGATCCATTTTTGAACCTGGTATTTTTCCAAGGAAGGGGGTGGGAATGTCAGACACAAGATTCTAGTTAAACAATGGGAAGCTAACAGCCTTTTGCCCTTAGTTGGCCTGACCAACGGCCTGGCACACCCTAAAAGGATACATAGTGGGCAGAAGACCCAAATCAGAGTAAAAGAGTGTGTGTCTTACTTGAAGATTATGCCTAAAATAAGAACAGCTCTTCAAGGTAAGAATCCGCATGCAGTAAGTTTCTCAGTGAATTAGAACTAGCTCTGGGTTTTCTTTTTGTTTTAAACTAGTAATTTCCTTTAATCTGTCTGTTTTCACTTACAACCACTGAAATCCGACTGTTTGTACTTAATAAAACACTTTCCCTTACTATCAAGTCCAGCGTAAATAGTTATCTGGGGGGAATGACCAGTATGCCTCTCTCTCTTTCATTGATAAAGAGGGTGAACACATCCTCATGAGCTTTCTTTGTGTAAAACTTTTACTCAGAGAAAGACGGGTTTATTTGAGGGTTTGATCCCTTTGGGGGTTGGTTTCCTGGGTGCTGTGCCCTAGAACTGCATCCTCCCAAAGCAGAAGTGGATGAGTGTCTGTGCTGCTCTGCAGGGGGGTAGTAACCCCAACTCTGTGCCGGGTCTGGGTGACACCAGAGGATCTGGCCCAGCAGGAGGGGGTAATAGGGAGCCCCAGAGAGCAAGACGGACATCAGTGGCATGATCAGCACACTGGGGGACAATCCCAAGGGGACTTCTGTGACTGCACCCCATCATAGGGACCACAGCACTAATCCTCAAAGGCTTTCTGAAAACCCTACACCGACAGGAATCACACTTATCCACATGCTTGTCGACAGCCTCAAAGAATTCTAATAGATCGGGAGGCATGACTTTCCTCTACAAAAGCTGGGTTAACAGCCAGGCTTACTCACATAATTCTCTTCTTTACTAGTTTCCAATCAGTTTGCTTGGTACTGGACTTAGGTTCATCAGTCTGTAATTGCCAGGATCACCTCCCGAGCCCTTTTTAAAAGCCAGTATTGCATGAGCTGCCTTCCAGTCACATGGCCTAGCTGCTTGTTTCAGGGCCGTGTCGTGTACCACAGCTTCTAGTTTTACAGTTTCACATCTGAGTGCCTTCTGAACTCTCAGGTGAATACATCTATCCTGGTGATGTCTTACAGTTTGTAGGGATATAAGTGGTTAGTCGAGTAGTCGACTATCCGATAAGCACAGGCTTACTGGGTAGTCAAGTGACTACTCAACTAGTCGCTTCCTCCCTCCCCCCCCCACCCCCTGCCTCTGTATCAGAGGCAGCACAGCAAGGGGAAAGTAGGAGTCGGCTTCCCCCCCAGCATGGTCTCCACGGGGTGCAGGGTGGGGGCAGGAGAGGCAAGGCTGCAGTGGGAGCCCCCCCCCCCTTAACTAATTGAGTAGTCAATAGAAATTCCATTGCCAACTTGATTAGTCAATTAACGGTTAGTTAACATCCCTAACAGTTTAACGCAGTGATCCCCCAAAGCAGTGCCCGCGAGCGCCATGGCACCCACCGGGGCATTTATGTGCGCCCACCGAAGGATCTGGGCCGGCCCTGCCCCAGGCACGTGGCACATGCGCGGTGCCGACCCCGGGTGTGTGGGTGACCCCACTCCTGGGCACGCAGCACATGCGTGGCCCCTGCCCCAACTTGATTAGTCAATTAACGGTTAGTTAACATCCCTAACAGTTTAACGCAGTGATCCCCCAAAGCAGTGCCCGCGAGCGCCATGGCACCCACCGGGGCATTTATGTGCGCCCACCGAAGGATCTGGGCCGGCCCTGCCCCAGGCACGTGGCACATGCGCGGTGCCGACCCCGGGTGTGTGGGTGACCCCACTCCTGGGCACGCAGCACATGCGTGGCCCCTGCCCCGGGTGCGTGGCACATGCGCGGTGCTGGCCCCTGCCCTGGGCACGCGGCGCA